TTATTGAAGATTTCCAGAGGACTTCACCATTGAAATTCACCAGAGCTATAGTGAAACTGACAATGCCCACGTGCATGGCAGCTGGATGATGGAATACATTGGGTAAAAGTGAAAAGGAGTTATTCCACCTTTCTGATTCCTGATCCTCCACGGACGGGTTGGTCGTTGGATCGCCAACTTGAAGAGGGAGGATTTACCATCGAAGTGGAAAAAAAATTTAACTTGAATGGTATACTTTTAAAATACTGCTTTAAACAACATTCTGGTCACATTTACAACTTAGATCAATTAAAATAAATGAATAAGCAAGGAACCAAGCATTTTCTTTCCTCATGCTCCACCTGCTGCGTGTTAATCAAACACTTCAGCGATTGACTAACCTAGAACATAAAATAGTGTAAGATATTTACTTGATTTATTATAATAATCAGAATTCTGGCTTCAGTGTTTTGGACCAGCTGAAAACTACTAACTACATTTTATGGATAATAAAGTTGATTCTACGCTGCAACAATTTTTCTTAAAATACGTGATTTTTACTTGAATTGAGGAGGCTTTGCGCATGGAACAAATCAATTTACTAGTGATGGTTAATGAGGCATCTTGGAGCCAAACTGTGTTGATACTGTCTCAGAATACTGACACCTGCTGGACAGTTAAAGACACTACAGGCAGCTTTTTAGACAGACTAAACTGAATTGATTTAATGACCTTGTAATGATATAATTGAAGTTATTGTACATTATATTGTATTATTTCATATCTATTAATAAATAGAAAACATCTTTGGTGTTTTTAGATGCAGCCAGTAAATAATGTAAACATTTAGAAAAAAACATGAAAATTTAGGGGAAAATGTTGATGAGGAAGCATGTGGACTAGGATTTTAAATCGCAATTTTTAAACAACAGAGTACAGTAAAAACATTAAAAAAGCAAAGAGTCAATTTACCATTTCAATTCAGATAAGTTGAGTGATAACTGAGAGAAAAGGGATGACACAATGAGAAAATAAAAATGGCTGAAACGTTCCTATTCCTTTTAGGCTGCTCCAAAGATGAGACTTTTTTTTTAGTAAATGCA